ATATATATTTAAGAGTGTTTTTATATTTGATAAATGCTAAAATATTTTTATTTAGTTATAAATTAAATTAAATGGTAAAATTTGCACGACAAAGTCCAAATTACCTGTTCTAGTAATCGAAACATTCTTTGCATCGTCTGATACCTTTCTAAGTATACGAAAATAATTTGCGCCAAAATATACATTTCACATTTTGAAAGTTTGGATAATCATATACCGACATTTAATTGGTATTTTTTTTTTCTTTTAAGGTTTGAAATACGACTTTAAATAAATCGAAGTACAAGAAATATAGTTAGATTTCAAAAAAATATGTCAAAAATTGACTGAAAAAGTCAACCAAAAAGGTTCAAGACAGAGACTTAAAATACGATTATTTAATGTTCGAAGATTTTTTTTATATAAATGAAATTAAATGTTTTTTATGATCATTAAAATGTAACGAAGAAGAAATATTCCCGAAATAGAAAGTTGTTTTGTATGAAAAAATGGATGTCCGTTGTTTTAAAATCAGACATTTATTTTTCGATACTGTTTTTTTCCACGACGGCCTACTACGTATTAAATGCATTTATAATTGTTAAATAAAAAACTGTAACATTGTTATGCTTGGTAGTAATCTTTACGATACATAAATGTAGAACCATAAAAACATAATGTTTTAATTTTTATTCTAAAAAAAATTAAAATTAAAATTAAAATATTTATAAACATGATTCTATTTTATACATTTGATAAGAAAAAATACAGTACATATATTATTTTTTGTTAACAGGTGTCTGAATCAACTTGTATATATCTTAAGTGATTTCAATAGTCTTGAAGAACAGGTAAAAAAGAATCTGGTTTTAGTGCTTTCATTAAATCTCAGAGGGATGTAATGGAAAATCTCATCTGCCTCGGGTTTAAATCTAGATGCGATCAAAACTCTTGTGACCATGTAAGTTCACTTGCAATGACTTTATGTCATTCAGATATAAATCGTTGTGTGTAACTTGATCTGAAAACCCAGAGTTTTATTATGAGTTAAATCAAATTGCAAAGATCATTTTTACAGGGAATTGAAGGCGTGGAAAGAGGATTTCTATTTGTACTCTTTTTAATATCAAAATCGGATCAATTTATATATTAAATATGAAGAAGGTGAATTTTAATGTTATTATATATAAAAAGGAAAATATTAAATATAAATTCATTTAACAATACTAGAAGAGTATTCGCACAATGCAGCGATACACATCTCAATTTTAATGTTTTATTTTATTATTTGTTTATGTCGATGTTATAATACGATTTTATGTGTTTTTAAGAAAACAATAATGATTTTATTTTTGAATAAAATATAAATTTGAAAATAATAATAAAAATTCGAAAAAAGAATATATCAATGTTAATATCAAATCAACTATTTAAAAGTTCTCATTTTTTATGTAATTTCTTTAATTTTTTTTATAATTTAAGTTAAGTTTAAATATGAAATAATTTATTTAAGTCTAATTATATTTTAGATTTTTTAAATTTTAAAATAAGATGTTTATCTTCTATTTGA